GGGCCCACGTCGTTCGTACCCGCGTTCGGGCCCACGTCGTTCGTACCTGCGTTCGGCCCCATGTCCCGTCAGCCAAGATTTTGATTTCGAATTCTTTGAGTGACTCTCATGTGCAACAAAGGTGGAGGACCTCCATCCCCGATGCACGGTCGTACCCAGGTTCGGCCGTACATTCACCTATGATGCTGTTTGCCCCCGTCAGTCAACCGATCACATGTAGCATCATAGGATGATGTACGGCCGAACCTGGGTACGACTGTACATGGGGGATGGAGGACCTCCACCTTTGATGCACGAAAGAGTCAATGATTCTCAGCAACATTGGAAGATCAAACCCGTCAGTGGACAGTTCAGTCTTCATTCATCGTGAATGCCTGCTGTGGCAGGACCCAGTCGTGGCGGCAAAGCTGATGAGATTCACACTCATGGCGCCCCTGGCCAGATTACCTGCACATGTGCTGCTCTTGATATTGCGTGTCAACATACTGCTGTGGGTAGGAGAATCTTGTAGCCACATCATGGGAGGTCCAGAGCCAAGTTTAGGTGTCATTGATCCCCGCCAGCATGGCCCAGTGGTCTTGGAAAACTCGATACGCCCTTCTTGGTGGACCTCATGTATCACTTCCGGGTACCATGTTCAAGTTGCGTTGTGATTGCGATAGTGATTGTGATTGTGAATGGAAACTACAGCCTTGGCTCTGAAGGCATTTGCCCTGGCTCTAAAGGCCAGCAGGGGCTTTGCACCACCAATAGCCATGGAACCCTATTTCAATCCCATGGAGATGTGGCGACGGATCCTTGCCATGGTCATCTATGTCACGAAGCGCTTGACACCTTTGGTCACCGGACTAGTGCCACCCTTACCTTTGATGTTCAACCAGAAGAGCACTTTACAAGCCCAGCTTCGAGGAATACCCAACGAGCCCAAGGATCCCTCCGACTCAACGAGCCAGGCTTCGTGGGACATCTTGGACGCAGTGGAGATGGAGAGCTCACACCAGAGAGAGATCACACCAGAGAGCCAAGACATGTCCAGTGGAGAGATCACACCAGAGATCTACCTGATGATGGGAACACCGCCACTGTGTCTTCATCGGAAAGGGGCCCAATTGGCAGTGAGCCGGAGCCGCAACGAAAAAACACTTTATTGGATGTGCCCTCTGCAAGGAAAAGATCGATGCGACTTCTTCGCGTGGACAGAGCATCAGCCCCTGATCAAAAGGACAGATCACAAGGTTGGGTGCAATCACCTCTACACAACCAAGGCCGGAACGAATGCCTTCAAGATCCAAAAAAGATGCCTGCAATGCCACAAGATCATCTTTGAAGAGAAGACTGCGCTTGGCGCGGCCAAGGCTTTAGAGAAGATATCGCGGAATGCACATATGCACCGCCATCAGGGCTAGGTAGCTTGACACACGAGCCCGTCATCGAGCGATACCGATTGAGTGCTGATAAGGCAAATGATGAATTAGTAATTAAAAGTTGCTGGCCCGGTATCTTGAGACAGCAGGACCTCCTTGCTTCAAAAAGGCGTTAAAAAGGGCGATGCTTCAGTAGGACCTTCTTGCTGTCAGGCGACGTAACAATTTACGTGTGCTTGGACGTTGTTACTTGTCCGGCCAGGCCATCTGCTCCGCTCGTCGGAGGCTTTGAACCACACATCAGACAAGTCCACTTTATAGTACAGCCTGAACATTGTGTTGTAAACCAGATTTTCTGACAGAGCATTTGTTGAATTTAAGTCGAATGTTCTGACTTTGATTTTCTGAATCAGAGTTATTTTCGGACTATGATGTTCTGATTGAGTATTTTATCATTGGGTTTCTGTGATTTTCTGAGCATGATAGTTAAGTTACTATTTCTGAGTTTGATTTTCAGTTTTGCTTTTTGACTTTGATTTTGTGAGTGACGAGATGATGCAACTTCCCCGCTTGCAAGGTGTTGCCCACGGCGGTGCGCTCTGCTCTCCCCCAGGTCACGGACTCAGACTGTCAGTCAGACATGATGCTTCAGATAAATTGGCTGTTTTTACAGAAGCCTTCAGTCATGTTCACATTCAGAGGCCTTCATTACAAATTCTTAGTCTTTTTCATTCAGATTCACTGTCCTTTTCAGGTTCACATTCTTTTTCATTCACTTTCAAGAAATTGTTCATTCAGATTCACAAGAATCTTTGTCACATTCAGACTTACTAATGTTTTGCAAGCAACCTTGAACTTGCATTGATTCATGTATTTGCAGCAGTTTTGTGGTCAGCTACCGGCCCTGCCCACTGTCAAACAAATGTCAGTCATGTGTTCTCAAGCTAAATGGCAACGTTCCACATCAACCACTCAACACATCACACTTTCCACTGTCATCATTTTCCGACACTGTAGCTTAGGGCAATTACTGACCTTTTTAATAGCCTTCCTCTCAGCCATGCAGTGCCCGGCATGCGACAGACTGTTGCCAAAAAACTTCGTCGCAGATTCGTTGTGGAGGTGGCAACAGGGTGGTGGCCCTGAGCCCGATTGGGTGTGGTGCTGCAGGGCATGCGAGCTGCAAAAGCCGGTGGATCAGAAGACGACATGGTGGTTTTGGAAGAAATTCCTCTACCAGCTCAAAAAACTGGAGCGCCACGGTGTCCCAGAACTCCTTGAGGAATACTCCCAGGTTCATCGTGCCTCGCTCATGTTCAATGATTTGTCGGATGGTTCAATAGTTTAAGTCTGTATTGGTCGGACACATTTTCCATGACAAAACGCCACCATGTTGAATCTGTGTTGACTGTGTTGCTTCCTTTTTCAACCAAGGCAACGTCAACCATGATGCGTGGCACCTGCGTGCTGATGCACCTCGGCTGGGCCACAAAATCCCGGCTTTGCTGTTGCGTCTGCTGGGATGCGATCACTTCGACACGCCTTGTGGAGGCGGAAGGTGGTTCGAAGCGTTCATGGAGCACTCGCGACAGGCCAACTTGGACGATGTGGCTGACGCGATGGAGAAAAGTGCTTTGTATCTGTGGCAGACTTTGAAGTACAGCTCTTATGACCACAATGAAATAGATGCCATGATCACGATCAGCGTTCAACTTCACAGCCTCGAGAAGGAGATCTGGAGCAAAGTAGGCTGGATGGATCGTGCAGCAGCACAGGCTATTACTAATTAATTGGCAAGTTTTGCCTGGAATAAGGGTTATCCACCATGTGGGTGTTCAGTCAGAACTTGCAAAAAAGCAGCGGTCACCCCATGACAAAGTTCCAAAAGTTTGGCAAGGACTATGGTGAAGAACCCTCTAGGGCCTTTTTGAAGGCACGGAATGGATCTAAAACAGATTCCCACCCATAGAGCGTTCAAGATGTGGAAAAAAGGCCATCGCAGGAAGTTACGGTCAATTGTTTGTACATGAATATGTGTATAATACTGTATACCGGCTATGACGTTTGAAGGCACATGCTTTCCTTTTCCGTGG